GTACGTTTCTATAAATACCATTTATACGCTGCATAAATTAGATAAATTGCTTCTTTTTCATTTTAATTGTCTATCATTAGTTTATTTATAGAATACCTAGTTATTTCATTTTAGATAAATTGTTTATTTTACACTTTAACTGTCTCTCATTAGTTAATTTATAGAATACCTAGTTATTTCATAGAATAACTAGTTAAAGTGTCAAATTAATAACATATTACACACTTTAACGGACGCGATCAGTTATTTCATGGAATAACTAGGTATTCTATGAAATAACTGCATTATATACTTTAACGGTAACATATATAATACATAATTTATTTTCTTACATATCTCTAAGTAAAAATCGAATTTTCTGACATTATTTTAAGTTTGAGTCTCAGGAGAGAAAATCGAAACAAATGATCTAGTTTTTTTTTCGATTAAGAATTTTTTTGCCAACTTAAAAATTATTGGAAAAATAATGCAGTAAATTAAATCTGCATACTTACTAGATTTCGACGAAGGATCAACTTTTTCCATAGAATCTTTGATCCACGCTTCTACAATGACGTAATCCTTCACAAATCCGGGGACGTGGCACTTCAAGACTGCAGTATTACCTTTCAAGACAAATTCGTCATGCATTTCCACAGCATACCGTTGAGGCATAACTAAAAGGAAAACAAAACATTAAGCAGGTACTTTTTAAAGGCAATAAACAATATATGGTAAACAACACAAAAGAAGAAAATTGTGATCGTCTTATTACGATTACTGGTCAAATGCTTTTCTTATCCATTGGTCAAATGCTTTTTTTTTTCTGGTCTGACTCCTATAAATGCGACAATATTTCAAATCATGGGTCGCAAAAACTGTCTCAATTGATGTTTGTCGTCGGATTGGTTTTCGTATCCTGCCTATGTACGTGTTTCAAGACGTCACAAAATACTTTTTTTTCTTCAGCATTCATATTTATAATAAAATCACCGTCAAGACAGTAATTATAAAACACTTTAAATTATTATTATATAAATACATTAAGAATGACTGCTAGAGAAAAGAAAAAGAAAAAAAAATCTAAAAAAATTATCAAATAGCAGCTGTCTCCATAGCAACGCATGCAATGAGGACGCATGCGCACCGTTTACTATTACCCTTGAACACTGTTGAAAAGTGTGATGACGCCTAAATAAAGTGCGCACGCCTTCAAACCCAAAACAAGACCCATTTTGCCAATGGGTAGAAACAAAAACAACAATTTTGGTACTAACATTCCTCTTTAACCACTTCAGCATGGGGAACAGTAATGAATGATAGTGATGAATAAGTATGATATAGAATGAATAGTAATGGGCCAATGTAAAATGAGAGAAATAAGTAAGAGGACTTATATTCCCCGATTTAATGGACTTAATTTTATGAAAACTGCACTAAAGATGGGCTAAAGTACGGTATGTATGTAATCTACATGCTGTAATCTTAGAGAAGAGTTAAAACGCTTTTTCACACTTGCTCGATGTTTTAGGATATTTTTGCAAAGCACAAGAATCTGTCAGAGATTTCCAGCGTTCCTCTTAGTGGTAATAATCTTGACTGCTAGATGGTTTTTTGATTTATCGTTCGTTATTGTATTTATGAATTGTATTGGTTATTGTCCATATCGCTTATTGTTATCATTATTGATGGAATATGGAATTAAGTATACATGTAATTTTCTTTATTCATTTGGTTATTTAATTTATTTTACTTCGATAAAAAGATCGGATTCAATGAAATGTAAGAGAAGGCAAAGTGTAGTTTTTTTTCTTTCTAAACGTCAAAAGTAAATTAAGCCTTTATACAAATATGCTGGCTTCTTTTTTTTTCATAAACGTATTTACAAATTGAATTATCAATTTTTCTTTTATCTGATCCATTGCTGAATGGATGGATTGGAAAAAAATCCATTGCTGAAGTGGATGAAAAAAAGAACAAAAATAAACTACGGAAAATACGCTCTGTTGTGACGTCACAGTGAAGTGAGACGCTAGCTCAATGTGGAGTGTGACACTTTAGACGCTAGTTCATAGTTCTAATAATAAAATCTTCTTTGCAGTATAAAGCAGATTACGGACGACAAAACTAAATAATTTTTTCAAGTAGCATTATATTAATTTATTTAAGGTTTATTCTAATTAATTTATTTGATTCTGCATTTTGAATGTGATTCATACAATTCATTAAAAATTCACCAGAAATTTCTTGAAGAGTATTCTAGAATTATAAATACAAAAATGCTATTTTCTTACAGGTTTTTAATTATTAAAAAAATTAGGTATTTTTAGTATTTGTTTTCTATTTTCAGGATACAATTACTCCATAAAGTACACTATAAAATGTTTTCGTGTCAAATTGCACTATTTTTGAAGTAAACTAAAGTCTTTTACAGCGCATGCAAGCATGTTTTCAATTACATTTTCACTTTAATAGTATTTTCTTTATTTACTTATTTATTTTTTAGTTGTTCATTAACTTCAACACACATTTCCTTGCGCATTAGAATCAATTTTAGACGTCATTCCAAAAACCTTTCGGTTAAGAAACAAGCACATTTTAGCACTACATTTGCAATATTTCTTTCCAACAATTGTTTTGCAGATTTTAAACAATTTCTCCATACTTCTGCATTTAAAAATGTACTGAATCATCGATTCAAGTGTGCAATAACATCTTCATTCGTTTCAATATTTCTGAAAATTTTTTTAACATTCAAACTTTCGATCGCTTTTCTGATCAAATTATTGGGATAATATGTTGCTCATTGTAGATAACCCACATATTTTGAAAGTCAGGAATCCAAATCCATCAAAAACAAAAAAATATATGTTTATTTAGAGGAAGTACGTTGTTTGTGTTTGATTTCGTAAATTAAAATATCATTTGCAGTAAGTAATTTCGTAAAGGTTCGGCCTTTGAACCATTAATATTGAGTCCTACTTCATAAAATTAAGTCAAAGAATATTCAAGTTGCTCTCTTTTTTTGCTTTGCGCACTGCATAACAAGAAAATTTTAACTATATAAGGATATTTCAGGGTTTTTTAATTTTATTTTTAATTCTTTAACCGTTTCTAAGGCCGTGGTAAATATACTTACAACCACTTTTTAAAGTTCATGTTGAACTTTTTTACCACTTTTAATTTAGGTTTCCATTTGTTAATCACTTCAGCTTTCTTGAATTGAGTTTGAATAAAATTGGTAACCATTTGTTAATTCAAGAAAACGTATAAAAATTATGAAATACATAATTTCTTTTGAAGTTTGTAGTATTTATAAAATTTATTTTGTGAATATCAAAAAATAAAAGTCAATAAGTTTCTAATAGGTCGTGGTAAATATACTTACCACCAAAAAAAAATAGCATTAAATTTTAGATTAATTTCCTATAAGCTAAATGAGTTTATTTTCTTATAACAATTAATATTCTGCTATAAATTTCAATTCCAAAAATACTTTAAATTTTCTAAAAATAAATGGCCCATTAAAGGGTTAAAGGTCAGCTGAAAGTATATGTTTTTTATTCACCATTATATTGAATCATCGATATAATCTTTTTTTAAAATTATTTTTCCCATAATATAAAATTTATTGTCAAATCTATTCCTTAAAAAAAGTAAACAAAATTGAAAATGATTTCCACCTATACCAGGAAATAAATTTGTGTAATAAATTTACATTTACTTGAAGAAGTTATAAAAACTACATATGTTACACTACTACTTAACTATATTGCTTTGATATTCGAAAGAAAAAAAACATACAATAGTTTATGTTTAGAAATAACTTAAGAAAACCGAGCTCGAACATTTTTAAAATGAGTCCTTTTTTCTGCCATTGAGACGGTCCAAATATTTCGTATTCTCGAATACCTGGATACGGATCGTGTTTAACTCATACATTTCGCATAAATTGCACAAGAGAGAGATTTGCATTGCGTAGGCGCTTTGTTTTTATGACATGCCATAAATCCTAGCCGCGAGTGTTGCATTACCCAATACACCAGCAACCGACTTAATAAATGATATTTTACATCTGGGATATCTCCGAATTCAAATGTTTGGGGGGTTGCATTGTTGCATATGTGAATGCAATATAACTTTGCTCTTTGCTTAGAAACGAAAGATTGATATTGAAGCAGATCCCTTTTAAATTTTATTGATCTTAAATCGAGATTTCGTTGGAGTCAAGTTTAATTTATGGCATTTCATATTTGCAAGAGTAAAGTATTGATTTGGATATGGAGGCTATTTCTGGAGGTATTAAAACAGAGTTTAGTTGGAATGATTTTTTTTTTGTGTATCGCACGCTTATTTGTCTTTTTTGACTGGCTCAAAAAATTAAAATAGATAAAAATCGTAGTATGTAAAAACTTCCTAACACATCAAATTCTTCTAGACTTGTGTTAAAACTGCACTCAATATTTAAAATTTGTAATTATTTGAGAGATTTATGAGTGAAATGAATTGGTTAAAGCAGCGATTCTCAACCTGTGGGGCGCGCCCCCCTAGGGGGGCGCGAGCATACTAGAGGGGTGGTGCGGAAATATTCAAGAGAAAATATTATTTAAAAAAATTGATTAGCTGGATGAAGGGAAATCGCACATACACACAGAAAACAAAATACATTTCGACATATTTAATAACTTACTAAAGTGAAACAACTTATTAAATCAAAATTTAAGGTGGGGAGCCAAGGGTGGCTTTGCTTTGAGGATTTTTCCTAATTTTCTGATTAAGTCTGTGGGGCTGAATTTTTCTCTGTAATATCTTACACCTATCTCTAATATATACCATGTATATATAATTCATTTCATTTATTCATATTTCTAATATATTTCATTTATTACAAAATTGTAGTTTCTGCGCCTAAGGTTTCCCTCAGGTTCCAAAGGTGAACCAGATAAAGAAATCACTTTTTCACTTACTCAAATTATCTTCAGAAAAAGCATTTGGACTGGCAAGCGCTTTATAAAAAGGCTTGCTGGTTGGAACAAGTTTCCCGACTATAAAAAAGATATTTGTTTTTAGAGTGTATAATTTGTTTATTGATTTTACATTAATAGTTCTTGTGTGAAGTCACTAGCGATTCTCCTGAGTTAACTCATTAGAATTAATCAAGAATTTCTGAGTTGATTTTTTCAAAGGATTAACTAAAGCGAGTTAAATAACCATAATAGAGTTAACTAACCTAACCCATAACTAGTATAAAAATGCTCAAATTTACAAGAAAATACCAGAATCGACCACAAAAATAAAAAATACCTGAAAAATTACTTTAAAATGCAAACAATACAAAAAACTTGAAACAAAATATCGCAAACTCTACTAAAGTGCAGAGAACATCAAAATATTACAAAAGTTCAAAAAATACCAAAGTTCCACATTTGCTTAAAATGAAATAAATCAATTGGCATTCAATTCAATCATTCCTTTTTGAGAAATAATATGCTACGTAATGATTTATAATTAACTCTTTTATAGATTTTCCTTTGTTTCCGAAGGTGGCCCACGTGTCCCCAAGGTGGCACCGGTGTCGGGCCACCTTGGCGACTTAAAACTATTAATCTGATAGATTAATTTGAATTAAGTAATGTGGTTAAAGAAAAAGAAATAAACTTTCGGAAAACATACCCTA